TAAGATTAAGATAACTAATTAGTTTAATTAAAATTAAAAAAAAATAAAATTAAAAAATTTAAAATGAGATTAAAATGTGTAATCATTTTCCAAAAAAAGAAAGTGACATGGTATGTGGGACGGACAGAAACGGCAACGTGGACATGGTATCTGGGACGGTGGGAGTATTATGCAAAGAGAACTATATATAATCATTGGAGGTGAATTGATTTGCAGCTTGCATGTGCACTACCATTGGCAATTCCTTCTTCCTTAATTCTTTCTTTATTTTCTTTCTCATAGAGCCATCCATTTCTTGTCCCCACACAACAACAAAGAGCATAATTCTTACATCATGAGATGACTTATAGCTAGCATATATGCATGCATATCCATCTCTCTCTCTCTAGATCTCTCTCTCTCCATTTTCCAAATTGCACAAATTGATATAGTTGAACAAGAGAATTGTCGATCAAAGAATGAATGTACGTAATCAAAAAAACAAAAAGATTGAATGTAATTTTTATTAATAAACGTAAACTGAATACAAAGATAAACGGATTTGCTTGTTTAGTATTTTGATTTGAATTTTTATTTTTTAATGTAAGATACAAAGAATCGTGAGCAATATAAAAAATATTGTTTTGTGTTGAATATTGATTTTTGTGAAAAAATAAAATATATAATTGAAAATCGTATTGAGAAAAAACAATAATAATAAGTGGGTGAACAAACCCTAATTATTTATAAGTTTAGAAACCCTAAAAGCTAAAACCCAAAACAAAATTAATCTTAGATAAGAAAGTTTGCGAAAATTAATAAACAATCCAAAAATTAGAAAAAAAAAATCATTTAAGGCCATAATCGACTTTGATCAAATGATATGAAGAACGTCGAACTATTCCCGATCAGCCGTGCAAATTTCATCCGATTCCAAACAAGGGCACGAAAAGACGAAAAATTAGGCACATTGCAGCATCATGTGTCTGTAATTTATCTGATAAAATCAATCAAATCCGACTTATATTCAACTTTTTTTTGCAGAAAAAAATTAAAAAAATAAAATAAAATAAAATTTGATGATCATATTGATGGTCAACTATACTTATAGAAGCAGCAGTGGTTGTGCTTCATTGCCTGTCAATTCATCACCACTTTAGATTCCATCGCCAGAATTAAAGCCATTTTTAGGGCATCAAAATGTCTTTCTCAGCCATTTTCCATCTGGCTTTTAATCTTCTTCTCTTCTTCTTCTTCTTCTTCTTTATTTTTTTTTATTTTTTTTTTATATTTTTATTTTTTCCACTTTCTTTAATTAGGTAGCAATGGAGGTTCTCAATTTTGGATAATAGTAAAATTTACCTGTGAGGTTTTGGCTTTGGGTTTTGATTTTGAATAGTAAAATTTTGAATTGAAATAATTGTTTGATGTGATATAAATATGTATTGATATGATATTTTGAATGTAAAATTAGATTTTAGTGTAATAAAATAAATAAAAGTTGGATGTTTGATTTGATATTTTTAGAGGAAAAAGAAAATTAGAATAGTAAAATCATTAGTAAAATCTTACGAGTAAACAAAGCCGACACACATGATTTTGGAGGCGAATATATAGGTTGAAGACAGCCTAAATGTGTTCAACTTTTAGAACTTGTTTAATTTAGTTGGCGAGTGATATTACTCGAAAAACCGAATTGTACATAATATGAAATTTTCTATTAGTAGGATTAGCTAGCATTGGCCTATCATATTGCTAGTAGTACGTTCGGTTTTCAAGTTACTAGGGTTTTGGTTTTTTTTTTTTTTTTTAGGTTTTCAACTTGAAATTATTGCGATTCACTAACTTTTTAACACTACAAAAAAATACATTAAATTTATTTTTTATTTTTTATATTACAATAAAAAAAATTATATTTAAAATTTTATATTAATACTTATCTATATTAAATAAACAATTATTTAAGTTAAAATTACTATTCAAATGAAATAATTGCCGAATGTGACTTGAAAAAAAAAAAAAAGTTTGAATGTTGGATATGATGTTTTTAGAAGAAATTAAAAGGCTAAATAATAAAAAGGTTTTAAAAAAATAAAAATGAGATAAAGATTTTTATAGTTGCCAAACATATTTCTACAAAAATCCATTTTTTATAATAATAAGTAATATCGAAGATGCCTAAAACATTTCCAAACACATTTCTACAATCCAATTTCAAATATATAATTATAGTTGCAAAATTTTACCACAGAAATTATATATAGGCAGAGTAAAAGTATGGATATTTTTGAGAAATTACATAAAAAATTATGGTTTTGGAATTTGCTGGTAATGAATTTCTTGACTATCAAAATTCTATTTTATTTTTATTCGTCGAATAAATTAAGAAGTTGCAAAAACTACAAGAAACTTGAAATTGACAAATGATTGGCTTACAAGGGATTATATAAATAAAAGTATCGACTAATTAGGATTGTCTAAGCAAAGATGGAAACTTACCTATAATAAGAAAAGACATCAAAATTAAAAAAAAAAAAAAAAAAATGATTTGTATCAAATTTATTGTAAAACTTTTACTTTAATAAATAATAATAATAATTAGATCAAAACTCATAATTAAATTCTATTGTTCGTCACCTTAATAATTAATCGATCATATTTTGTTTTTCGAAGTCAAAAGGCAAAAATATATACTTCCTACATCCCACATAAAATGTTCATTTTTTTTATTTCCGTCAGTCCCACATAATTTATCCTTTTTTTAAAAAAAATAATAATTATACAATTTAATATTTTAAATTCTATAATTTATAATTTTTTAATCTTAATTAAATTATTTAGTTATCTTAATCTTAAATCTATAATTATTTTTATTATGTCATAATTATTTTTACTGATACATTTTTAATTATTTATTAATTATATTTTTTCTAAATTCTCGTGTGACGAAGAAAGTATTATATTTAATATTTATTTTGTATTTAAAATGTCACATCTTTATATCTAAATGAATAAAATTTTAAATAATTTAAATCTTAAAATACAATCAAAACACAAAAAATAAAAATACACCCATATATCTTTATATAATGCTTCACATATTTAAATCAAAATAGAAATATTCTATACATCAATTTATTCTTTTGAAGTTGATTAAATGTAGAAATAATTATTAAAGGAGTGATGATTGTTAAGACTATTATGTTTTTTGACAAGAAATATGAAGTGATATTTTTCTCTAAACTCATATTGTTGGAACTTTGACCAAAGATATCGAATATATTTATCAATGCTGGCATACCGAGACAATGATATGCATTTTTTATGCATTGTGATTTTTTATATAATATTTTAAATAAAAAACTAAAAATATATTAATGAATGATCGAAAAAAAAAATATTTTATACATTTTCACTTGTGTTTTGATAATATTTTTAGAAAAAAAATATATATTTTTTTGTCATCGAACTTTCGGAAAACAAAATAGTAAAAAAATTCCAAGAAATCAGGCGGAAAAATACAGTTTAACTTTTTCTATAATTTTTCTTTCGGTATTTTATTATATTCTTCTTGTCCATCCGAAATATTTATATTTATTTTTGGTGCTGCTTGTGGGGAAATTAAAGAATTTAATATTACTTCTTGTCCGATTCTAAGGTCTTATTTATTTTTTATATTTTAATTTTTAAATATTAATTATTATATAAAAAGGCAATACAAATTAAGAAAAATTTGCAAAAAATACTTTCATTAGTGTCTTATAATACTAATAAAATAATATTTTTGTAAAAAATTATACAAATATTAGTGTCTAGATTTATGTATATAGGTTATGATAGATACACGAATTTAAAAATTTTATATATAATTAATAAATAATATATATTAGTAAAAATAATTATTTTATAATATAAATAATTATATATTAATATTAAAATAATAATTAGTTAAATTAAATTTAAAATAAAATTAAAGTATATAATCTTTTCTGGACGTGAGACCACATAAATGACAATATGGACATGATAGATGAATCGAAAGGAATATAAATTTTGTAATATGTACTAAAGTCTTTATTTAACAATAAAGAAATATAAATATTGCATTTGGACAGACAAAAATTAAAAAAATATAAATCTTCTGAATAAATAGAATAAGTATAATTTTACCCCCAAAAAAACTTGGAACATTGAATTCAACTATTGAAACATCAATTTTTTATTTTTTATTTTTAAAAAAAGGCTATATAAACGGAAGTTTTGAAAAACATTCCTAATAATTAAAAATAAGTATTTGATATAATATTTTGTGAAATTATAAAAATATTTTTCGGAGGCCCATTTACTTTTTGTTTTTTCGTATTGATTTTAAATATTAATTATTATATGAAACGTAGTACAAATCAAAGAAAAATGGCAAAACATACTTCTATTATTAGTGTCTTGTAATACTATTATAATGATATTTGTGCAAAAAATTATACAAATATAAGAATATTTTTAAGGTTAAGTACAATAACGCAAAAAGTAGACGAGACCATTAGAATCGGACGAAGAGAGTATAAGATGACAAAAGTTTAAAAAAATTGTAATCGATATTGACATGGACAAGGAGAAGGAATAACTTGACCTAGAAGAGTTGTGTGATTGCTCAAAAAATCTCCTTAACTCGTTTGTTGGTTTGGATTTTGAGTTGGAATTTGAATAATAAAAATTTTGAATTGGAATAGTTGTATGATGTGATATAAATAGGTGTTGACGTGATATTTGAATATAAAATTTATTTTTAATATAATATAAAAAATGAAAAATAAGTATTTGATTTGATATTTTTTTGGGAAAAAAAAAATGATAGAATAGTAAATTTATAATCCAATTTCCCAAACAAACACGTTTTTAATATAATTTCTTGAAATAACTTTTGAGTTGTCACTACACAAACAAATCCACACTACTTTTTATTACCCTCTCAGCTAATCATCGAACAAAGTTTACACTTAATTAAATTACTCATAATTTTAAACCATGCCATTGATAAATTGAGTAGTTTCCATTCCAACCTAACAAGAAACTACATTTCTGATCAACAATGGAGGAGGGTTTCAAGAACCCCAAAGCTCTGACGGCGGCGGCGAATCCGCCGGAAGACGTTTTCCGGGCGGCCTATATGCTTCATTTCGTTCTCGGGTCGGGGATGTTGTTGCCGTGGAACGCGCTAATCACGGCCGTCGACTATTTCGGGTATCTCTACCCCGACCGGCACGTCGAGAAGGTGTTCTCGGTGGCCTACATGGCGTCGTCGCTCGTGGTTTTGGGTTTGATGCTGAGCCTCGGCTGGTGCCGGCGAGTGTCGAGTTTGAGGACGAGATTGAACGTCGGGTTTTGCATGTTTGTCGCGGCACTTATGGCGACGCCGTCGATGCAATGGGTTTGGCACGACGACGACGATGGGGGGAAGATGAGCTCCGGCGAAGCGTACCGTGTCGTTGTCGGGTCGGTTTTGGTTTGCGGTTTGGCCGACGGACTCATTGGCGGGAGCTTGATCGGGAGCGCCGGAATGTTGCCGAAGAAATACATGCAAGCCGTCTTCGCCGGAACGGCTTCCTCGGGTATCGTCTCATCTTAACAAATTAAGGCTATGTTTACATACGTATTTTTTAAAAAATTCTAAAAAAAATAGCACAAAATTACTCTTATAAAATATTACATCAAATACTAACTTTGAATCTCCAAAAACATCTATTTAAACGAAGTCTGGTATTGTCATAACATTAGAGATGTTATTTGAGTCGGGTATCTAGTGTTCAAATTTGACTCCAGCTTTTACTAAGTTAAATAATTTTATGAGAAATCTCATGTTCGAATTCGAACTCAAGTTTTATACTGCCTCAGTCCTATGAGAAGAATATAATGCCTTTTTGCATATTGATTTTTTGAATATTAATTATTATATTAATACGTAGTATAAATTTTTTAAAAAATACAAAAATATCTCTATTGGTCTCTTATAATACAAATACAATGATATTTGTGGTGTAAAATTATACAAATATAAGGATATTTTTAATGTTAAACATAACGACGCTAAATGTAAACGGTACTCTTCTTATGAGACGACAGTATTTATAATTTGTTTGAGTTTTATGAACCTGAGTCTACTCGACTCAGTAATAAATATTCTTTTAAGTTTGTGTTCGCTTGTTAAAATTTTCAGTAGTTCTACCTAATGTTACCCTATGTGGGGCCTTTTCCCACCCCATCCCCTTTTAATTTTAAATTTTTTTTTATAATATATAATATAAAAAACAATAAACAAATTAAAAAATTGCTAAATATTGATAGATTATTTATGTGAAAATTTTGAATAATAAAAATATTTATATCATAATAATTGTTTGATGCTATAAAAATAGATATGAAAAAAAAAAGTAATAAATAATAATTAAAAAAAAATTCAAAAAAATCTCAACCAAAATACAGACGAGATGATATTTTTAAGAGCTATTTTTTTTAATAAATGTTTACTATTTATCAATTTCATAGAATATAAAATTCATCTGGTAATATGCATTTGTCACTGTAGATTAATATTTTGCAAGATTTTCAAAATATAATAACTCCATTGATAAAATTATTGGATAACAAATAGATGATGATCGTTTGGAAATTTGAAAATTTAGCCCCCCTCTCATCTCGGTCTGGTTCCGCCTCTGTGTTGTTACGCTAACACTTGTTTTTACATAGGTGTTTTGATTTCGATCTTAAGAATCGTTACAAAAGCATCGCTTCCCCGTACTCCACGAGGCTTAAAAACGAGTGCGCAATTCTACTTCATCCTTAGCGCCGCGATCTTGATCGGGTGCATTATCTGTTGCAATATTCTCCACCAACTTCCCGTCATGCGGCACCACCGCCGCCACCGGAGCTTCCACTACATCCTCTCACCTTACGGCGATCCCTCCGCCCTCTGGGAAGTCCTTGCCAAAATAAAATTCCCGGGGTTCGGAGTCTTCTTGATATACACGGTGACATTGTCGATCTTCCCCGGATTCTTGTCCGATCATGGCGTCCGGTCGGAGCTCCTCGGCGATTGGTACCCGATCGCGCTGATCGCGGCCTACAATGTGTCGGATTTTGCCGGAAAGTTAGCGACCGGAGTTTATGTCGTGAAGGGGGTCGGGAAGGCGGCGTGGGGGTGCGTGGCAAGGTTGGTGTTCTACCCGTTGTTTGCGGGGTGTTTCCGGGGGCCGGCGTGGCTGAGGACCGAGATTCCGGTGGCGGCGCTGACGGTGTTGTTGGGGTTTAGCAACGGGTACTTTACGAGCGCAGTGATGATTATGGCGCCGAAGGCGGTGGCGGAGGCGGAGGCGGAGGTCGCCGCCGTTGTTATGGCGGCGATGCTCGGAGTGGGGCTGGTGGCCGGCTCCGTTGTAGGGTGGCTTTGGATAATATGAATTAATGAAGTTTTAGTTACGGTTTGATTTTGTATTTCTATATATATCTTTTTGGTTAATGGTTTGTTTTTGGTGGTTTGATTAGTTTAGTTAGATATGGATTTTAGGATTGGATTATTGTGTAACGCTTGGGGTTTAAGTAGCATCAATTTATTCAAATATGTTATAAAGTTTGTTTGTCATTTGAAATATTAAGGTTGACTTTTTAGTGTAAATAGTATTTTAATATATTGTGTTTTTTTTTAAAATAATAATAATAATAATAATAATAATATCATGAAAATAGTACTTTTATTGTTTTTCAAGTAAAATATTATTTGTTTGGTTATAATTTAAACTAGATTTAAAATATCATCAAAAGAAAATAGTAGTAAAAAAAAATTCATTTTTAAATTTATGTTTTTCATTACTAATGACATTAGAGACGAAATTAAAATGAAATTTATTAAATTTCAAGTAGGTAACATCCCTAACTTTCATTACAAATATGTTATTTTTTTGTGGAGTATGATATTGATTTGAGTTTTATTTTAATAATATTTTGATTTGATATTTTGTGAAAAAAAATAGTTATTTTAATTTAAAATTTATTGAGTAAATAGTGTTTTGAGCAAAAATTATTTTTAGTCTCATTCAATATCATAATTATAAATTTTGATTTCATTCCAAAAAAATTATCAATTTTGGTCTCACTCAAATAAAAATTTATCAATTTTAGTTCCAAAATGGTTGACTATAAATATATTTTTATATATTTTTAAAATATTAAAAATTGATTAATTTTTATATTATGAAATAATTGTAAAAAATATTTTTGTTGAATTATAAATATATATATATCAAATAATTTTAACCAAAAAGTGAAAATAATAATAAATATGACATACAATATGATTATATTGAATACATGGCCTAGAACATGGCTGTGTTGAGAACATGGGCAGGAAAATGGCCTAGAACATGGTTGTGTTGAGAACATGGGCAGGAAAATGGCCTAGAACATGGCCGTGTTGAGAACATGGGCAGGAACATGGTTGTGTTCAGAACACGGGTAGGAATACAGCCGTGTTCAAAAGTGCAGGGTAATCAACACGGCCGTGTTGGTTACCTGGGATGTCCAGTCACTTTCTAAGTCATCCAACACAGCCATGTTCAAGCCAACACGGCGGTGTTCAGTCCCAATCAACTATTTTGGAACTAAAATTTATAAATTTTTATTTGAATACGATCAAAATTGATAATTTTTTTTAATGGGACCAAAATTGATAATTATGATATTTAATTGGACAAAAAATGATTTTTACTCAAGTGTGTTTTTTTAGATTGAAATCACAAAAGAACACATTTTATTAAAAAATTTAATACTTTTTTAAATATATAGATTGATATACGGCTTGTTTATTTAATGTTTTCCTTTGAATTAATTTTTTTTTTAACGTGAAGTGTAGAAAATTATGCTAGTAATATAAAAAATAATATTTTATATTAAATATTAATTTTTGGTAAAAAAAATATAAAATATATTATAATTACATCGGATAAAAAAAAAATTAAGCAAACAAACTCATGTTTACTGATCCCAAAATCTTCAAATATTTTCTGAGTAAAGACTATCACTCTATTCTCAGTAAATTAATGTCATCATTTATACATGTTTTAAAAGAGTTTGTCAGCGTTTTGTTTGTTTGATATTGATTTTGATTTGAAAGTGGATTTTTAATTTAAATAATATTTTCATTTATAAGTAAAGTATATATATATATATATTAAAAATAATGTAGATTGAATTAGTGATGATTTATGTTCGAAATACAAACATATCATTTTTTTAAAAAAATATATATTATTAATTATTAAAATTATGAAAGTTGTAGGGAAAAAAAAAAAAACTTATAATTTTATTTGACTAAAGTGGTTTCCTTTAATGTTTATACAAAAATGTGAGTATTATTTCGAATAGTTAAAAATATGAGTATAAAATCATCTCCAATCCATTCCTTCGTTTTTTCAATACAGTAAAAATGCAGTTGATCTAATTTTACTCAAATCATAAACTTCCATTTTTCTAAAATCGTATATTCTCTATATATTCTTCTTTTATATTATTTTATATAATTTTTTATATTATAAATTGCACCCCAACTTTAATTTTTTTTACAATATAACCCAAATATATATAATTACACATTATTTTTAAAAAACTATATAATTATATATCATTTTTCTAAAGGTAAGATTATATATCACTTTTAAAAAAATAAAATTATACATTATTTATAAAAAATAAAATTATATTACTTTCCAAAAAAATAAAATTATACATAATTTTTCAAAAAAATAAAATTACATATCATTTTTTTTTAAATAAAATTACACAATATATCCAAAAAAATAACAAAAATATACAAACACCAAAAAACATCATATAAACTCCACTCTATTTTTGGAGTAACACTGTAGCGGGCTGCAAAAATGGGAGGGAATTAATTATAAAAAATAAATAGCTACACTGGACGGAAATTGGGGGTACTTTTTTTTTAAAAAACGAGTGAAAGGGAAAAAAAAGTCCAATTCAGAATATTTTTAGCAATTGTGTTATATTCTTTCAGTCTCACTTACTATATTACAATTGCTATAGAAATGAGAATTTAGGAATTATGTGTTTAATAAATAATTAAAAATATATTAATAAAATAAATTGACAGGAGTAGACAGTCAAATAATTAGTTGTTCCTAATCAGTTGTAGAATAAAGAAAACATGTTGATCCTGCGACTGTGTTCTTTAGTTGATTATTTATTTAAAATGGGGGAAGATTTCAATCAATAATTAAAATAGTTATCTAAGAAAATTCAACTAAACTAATTAAAGTCAATCAATTAAAGAAGAAAGTAATCACGAATTTATCAAAAAGTAGAACACTCTAGTCAAGGGTTGGATGAAAAATTAAATAATGGATCTCATCATTGAAATTTTTTTCTTAACTTTGTCGGTGGCAACGGTACGACCAATTGACCACTATCTAATCGAAAGAATTACCTTACTAAAAATTCTCCAATTGAATTTAATTGAAGAAAAACTCAATTCAAATAATTAATTAATCAATTACGAAAGATTTCGGTTATTCAATTAGCAGACAATCAATTAATAGACTTAAAATTTGGCCACAATAATAAATCACATCTAATGATTGTAAACATGGTACACGAAATCGCACAAATACCAATTAATTGAAAGATTTGATCAAAATCAAAACTATCTCACAAATTCATAATCCAATAATCCAATCCACCCTCAGACTAGAATAAGAAATTAGCTACTAAAATATGACTAGAAATCGAAAATAAATAAATTCTACTTGAAAGAAGACGAAGAAGAGTTGCGCGTTCTTGCTTTCTTACCAAGATGATTTTTTTATTTTTTTCTCCTCCTTGATGTTAAAAAAAAACCGCGTGCGGTCCTAAGATAGCTTGAATATATATTTTTTATTATGTTGTTCTCTTGATGTGAAATTTCAGTTTTATCTTTCAAGTCTTGGCTAATTCAAATTTTCTCTAGACATGCTTAAATCAAAGCGAGAATCTGAAGTTTTTGCAAATATCTTCAATTTCTTCTATTTCTAACACAAAATCAAATTCCACCAGAAATCAGTAGGAACTATGCAAAATTATAGTAATGTACAAAAAGTTATATGAACAATAACTTCATCAATAAAAATTAAAATATTTATAATTATTGTAAAAATATTTATTTTCTATATATCTTCAAGAGAAAAAATATCAAAATAATTTTACATATTTTTACTAATTAATAAAATACTATTATTTCTTAATTTATTATAAAAAGTAAATAGGTACATTAGACTAGGAAGTAGGGGAGTATTTTATTTTATTTTTATAATTATAATTTAATAAAATATATAAATAAATATATATGTTATTTTGTAGAGAATAAATATAATATAAACAAATAAAAAATATATAAATATTTATTTATGATTAACATAAATTAATACTCAAATCACAATATTATTAATTGCATAAATTTAATTTAATACACATTAATATAAGTGTCAAATTAATACACATCAAAATTCTCAAAACTCAAATTAAACCTAATAACTAAAAAAATATAAATTAAAATTTATCTTAAGATTCAAATATAATTCAAAATAATTCTTTATTTTTGCAAACTTGCACGGTCACAACTCCATCTTCACACCATCAGCTATTCCTTACGGTTGTAGATTCGTCCTTGTTGGTCATATGGTCACTAGTTCATCTTATACCGAATAGATTATTTTTTACGAAATTAAAATATATGCTTTAATAATAAACTATATATTTTAATTACTTTTTTCTTCCGTCAAAATTATGTAATTTTTTTTGTCTGCTGAATTTATACACAATTTATTAAACTTATGTACAATTTATTTTTAGTAAATAACTTTATTCATTCACAATTTATTACTCTTATTTTAACAAATACAATAATAACCAAATTTCATTGATTTCTCTATTTATTATATTACTTTTTTATTAATTATTTAATAAATTTCATATATTAGCTTATTTTAATTTTTTATTAATTATTTAATAAATTTCATAGTACTTTATTTTATTTTTTACCTATCTTATTTTAATATTAAAATCAAGTAGGCGGGTCTAGTCTTAACTCAGTGATATTATGTGTTAGGTTTGATTTTATTTCATTATAAGAAGGTTCTTCAAAATAGTAAAAATATTAGTATTTGATGTAATATTTTATCAAAAAAAATATATATATTTGTTGGAATTTTTTTAAAAAAACAAGTTACTTTTAATAAATAATACCAAAATCTTCCAATATATTTGAAGAAACTTCTAATTTTATTGGTTACCATCTCAATTTCAATTGATACTATATTTTTATTTTCTTAAAAAAATATTGTATTATATAAGACTATTTAAAATTTTATATTTTTATCTATTTTTTAATAAACAAATATATTTATAAATATTCAAACTTTTCTATTTATTTTAATCTTATACATTAAATAGATTATAAATGAAATAATAATTAAATCAATTAATTCCCAACTTATCTTCTAACTCAAAATTCAACCTATAATAAAAAATATTCTCCTAACTTTTTCCTTCTAGTAGTTATTTCATTCCTCTTCCAAATGGAACCCGACGGTTTAAAACTCTAACACGTGTTAATTATTTATTATTGTACTATTATTATTATTATTATTATTATTAGGCTAAATTGCACAGATATTGCGGCAAAAACATAAATATGCTCAAACTGTTTTAGAATTTGGATTTGTAAGCTCTTAAACTTACAAATATATTTATTTTTTCTTATATTTAACTTAAAAATATTAAAAATAAATTCTTAAAATCCGAAAAAAATAACTATTTTTTTATAGTATATTTACTATTTTTTTAGGTTAAAAAACACTACCAGAAAATTAAGCTATAGCTGCGGTAAAAAAAGTCACGGTTTTAGTACAAATTGATGACTTTTTACTAAAAAGTCACGGAAAAATATACGGAACTATTTCCGTTGAATTTTGCTGGTGACTTTTTTTTAAGTTGTGACATTTCTGTGACAATAAGTTATAGAATAATACCATGACATGTCCGTGACTTTATATAGCAACAGAAGCTGCAACAAAATTTCGTAAATATTTTATAATTGTGACATTTTCGTGACAATAAGTTACAAAATAATACCATTACACCTCTATGACTTTATATTAACGAAAACTGTAACAATTCCGTGATTTTATATTTTTGAAAAAAAAAATTATATTATAATTTGTGTTCAATGCAACCACACACGATTTGGTTTCGAACTAGTGACCTTATATAGTTATTAAAGACTTACACGACTTGTCATGCCAACTTAGCTATCTACTCTAAAGTATTACTTTTTGTTTGTTATTATATTTTAACTATATAACTATTATTGATTATAAATTTATCTTTTAAAAATATATACATATTTATTTAATATATCATCATGAATTTTTAACAAAAAAATTGAATAGCTACGAACGATATTGAATAAAGATATTGAAGATGATTTTATTATTTTGTTATTACTTTGAATAGCTACAAACAATAATAAGAAAAATTTATAGTTATTTTCGTTACTTATGTTGTGAAATTTGATTTTAAAAAGTCACAAAAATTATACTATGACAATATCTGTAATAATTTAAAATGTTGGAAATATTTTGGTTATTTTTGCCGCAACTTAAAATAGTCAAGAAAAAATTTTGTGACAATTCTTGTGACGAAATAATCAAAAGACACGGAATAGAAATATCTTGGACATTTTCGTTACACAAGCCGTTACTTTAAATAGTCACGGAAAGTTGTTTGTAGCTTTTTCAGCAAATATTATTTACGGAATAGTCAAAACAAAAAGTTGTGACATAAATTTGTCACGAAATTACTTTCCGTGATTTTTAATTGTCACAGATTAAAATTTGTGACAAATTTCCGCAATTATCAACCTTTTTTCTAATAGTGAAATAAATATATTTGTAATTTTAGGGTTTAGAAATTGAGATTATAATATTTATTCAAAGTTTGAACGCATTTAGGCTGAATACCCTTAAATAAGGACCGATGGGTTAGACGCAGAGTTTATTTTTTAAAAATATAAAAAATTTTGACCGCAAGTTCGTAAAATTACATTTAAATTTTGTGCAATTCAGCGATGTTATTATTATTGTTAATAAGTTAGAAAAGTAAGAAAAATGCATAAAGGTTTGTTTGGTTCGAACGTGGGAAGGAGAGTGGAGAGATTTTAATAGAAGGGAGGGAGGCCAAATGGAGGGGAAAGAATATTAAAATTGTAATAGAGTGTTTGGTTTATATGGAAGGGAAGGGAGACGAGGCTAGGGAAAATAATATTTTTGTGTTTGGTTAAGCAGAGAGAGAAGAAAAAATATAATAATTTTACTGCTTTACCTCTGCATTATATAAATAAAGAAAAATAAAAGTATTTAATAAAATTTGATTAATTTATTTATAAAATGTGATACAAAATTTATTTGTCTAATATAATAAAAACAATAATTACATTATTACGTCTTGAAAGAATCCAATACTTTATACATTAGTTATTTATTAAATTTATCAATAAAGATGAACAATAGATTTACAAATAAACAATAATATTATAACAAAATTTATACTCCCTCCGTCCCAAATACCGTGTCTGCTACGCTGTAGACACAGTATTTTAGAAGGGGTGTAATTAGTAGATAATTAAGAATGTATTTATCCTATAAAACATATAAATAATTATAAATTAAGATTAAGATAACTAATTAGTTTAATTAAAATTTAAAAAAATTAAAAAATTAAAAATGAGATTAAAGTGTGTAATCATTTTTCAAAAAATGAAAGTGACATGGTACGTGGAACAGACAGAAACGGCAACGTGAATATGGTATCTGGGACGGAGGGAGTACAAACTAAGTATATTATGAAAATATTTTATATTTTATAATTTATAATTTTTTAATATTAATTAAACTATTTAGTTATCTTAGTTCTAATCTATAATTATTTTTACTGTACAATAATTATTTTTAATAGTAAACTTGTTCATTACTTACTAATTATATTTTATCTAAATTAAATTCTCGTATCTACAATAATATATTCATATTACATGAAAAAAAAGTAAAATATTAATATTATAGATATAATTATATATTAGTTTGTAATTTATTAAAAAATTATTATAATTAAACTTGATTAAAAAATTAACTAAAACTATTTCAAAATATATAATATAATTTCAATATATATTAATATTTATTTGATATAATTAAAAATAAAATAAATAAATATTAAAATTTTAAAAAATATTATAATTCTTTAATAAAATATGCAAAAAAGTATAATAGATAATTAAATTTAATAAAATTTAATAAAATTCCTTTCCTCTAAATTCCCCAAATAGGAGGAAATTAGAAGAAATTGACTCACACCTTCAAACCGAACAGACCCTAAAGGTTTAGAGCAGCGCTAAACGACAATCACAGACAGTAGCTTTGCCTTTGACTTTGCCAGCGTGTTGACTCACCATTGGCACACCACATCGACAGACAGACATACATACATACATATCTTCCCCGATATTCGGGGACCTCGCTCCATCAATCTCCACTTGCCAATTCCTATTCCTATTCCTTTCTGCTCAAACGAATTCGATCTCTCTCGCTCAACCCTCCCCTGTAATCGGAATACCTTCGCTTTTATGACCTAGGTAACGTTGTTTCACTTTTATATTTTCTGTGTCTTCCGATTTTTGCTGCCTTTTGCTTTGTTCATTACATGGGAATAGAAGAAGGTGGCTGTTATCCTTCGCTTTTTGGGGCTTTCGAAATTATCAATTTGATGCTAGGTTTTCTGTGTATGGTGTTGTGATCGACTGATGAGCTGTAGGAGCTTCGGAATTTGCTTCTTTTTTCACTGTTCTGTTTCGATTCTGTAGAATTTTGGCTATGTGGTGTTTTAGCTGGTTGTGGAATTTTTTGTTATGACCTTTGTGATGAATTGGTTGGGGTTTGTGTAGGATATTTTTGAGGCTGCAGTGTGAAATGAGCGTTGCCGACAGAAAATGATGTCGGTGAAGAGAAATGTTGGGAAGTATGAGATTGGAAGGACGATTGGGGAGGGAACTTTTGCCAAGGTTAAGTTTGCGAGGAATACGGAGACTAATGAGAGTGTGGCCATCAAAGTCATGGCCAAGACTACCATTCTCAAGCACAGAATGGTTGATCAGGTGATCTGCTTAATGTTAATCTTCTTATGTTTTTTCGATATATCAGTGAAACAAAGTTTGATTGCATATGCTTGAGTTTTCTTTTCCTGTATTCACAAGTCTTGTCTTAACCTTTTCATGTGATCGAAATTAGATATAGAATACTAATTCCTTGGAGGTACGTATCTGTGAGTAGTTGGAATGAGATGGTTATAAATCACTATGCAAAGGATTTTAGATTTAAAATGATTTCGTAAAGCTACTCAAGATCATTTAGAATAATGTATTGATATCATCTCATTTTGATGCAAATAGCTAAAACTCCCACATGCTTAGAATATAGCATTTTATGTTTGTATCGCAATTTCATTGTTAGTTGTTCCAATTACGTGTTGTTTAAGGTGTAATGATATTCCCGACATTGCATATAGTATAGTTGAGCTTCAGTTTGTTTAAGAATCAGAGATTTGCTCTGATATATTTTAGTTCAAGAAGATCCCCTCTGACTGATAGAATTGATTACCAGATAAAGCGGGAGATATCAATAATGAAGATTGTCCGACACCCTTGTATAGTCAGGCTGCATGAGGTATGTTCGCCCTGCTTACAATGTATTTGCATTGTAAAAGATATGTCTTTCCGTATATTGCCAGTGAGTTCACTTAAAAGAATTCGACTATTATTTTCTTCTAAACATACCTTATATTTTTCTGCCTTTCAGGTCTTAGCAAGCCAAACAAAAATATACATAGTTTTGGAGTTTGTCACGGGAGGCGAACTTTTTGACAAAATTGTATGCGTTCTTTGACTAAAGTAATATGATCACGAGCCAGAAATAGTAGATGGAGAATGAACCAGCATTCATTTGGTTTCCTGTAAACCTGAAAAAATTTATCCATGCCTTTGCTTAATTTATATGCATCGTTTATTTCGTCTTGGATAGGGATAGAAGGTTCCAAATGTTGAATGGCAGATGCATTAGGGATTGTGCGCTTGTATTGTATGCATGTGCTTTGTATCTCTGATCATTTAGCCTCCTAGTCATAGAGAAGATCATGATGGTTGTGCTCCAAACTGTTTTAAGTCGAAAAATTATTGTTTCGTTTTTCTGTGAGTGTGTGCTTGGCTAACTACCTTGCCTCCCATAGGTTCACCATGGTAGACTTTCTGAGAATGAATCAAGGAAATACTTTCAACAACTAATTGATGCAGTATCACACTGCCACAGCAAGGGCATTTATCACCGTGATTTAAAGGTCGGAGACAGTCTTCGGTAAATGATTCATTTTGCCAACCATTATTTGTGCTGGGATTGAAACTTTGATTATTGAATTGTTTTTATAGCCTGAAAATCTGCTCCTTGATTCCAAGAAAAACTTGAAGGTTTCTGATTTTGGACTAAGTGCATTACCTCAACAAGTAAGAGCAATGACCTAATTTATTAATTTGAGAAATATGTATACTGTTTTCTTTTACCTGTGCTTTTTATGGGGTCATGAATACCATGCCCTGTTCTCTCTCTATTTTTTTCTCCTCCTAATTTCACTAAATTCATTTCCAGGGGGTTGATCTTCTTCACACAACTTGTGGGACTCCAAATTATGTTGCACCTGAGGTGTGATCTTTAATACCATATGTCATATTTTGCTATGATCATCCTTAAGTGCTAGGCTGCTAGCTATAATTTGCTGTACAAAACGTACCTATAGCAATCATATAGGATGTAATGTTTTTAGTTTCTCTAAGGTTGACGGCATGTTTCTTTGGTTTACTTTATTGAATTAGTGTCCGTGTGATGCCTTTTCAAGGGATTTGAGAGGTTGTTAAGAGAATCACCAAGGGAATGTGAAGGGTGGAGCTTTTCAATGTTATAAATTTGTGCATGATTTTAGAATTTTCGTCTTTTATTTGTTTCGGTGTTGATCCTTCTTTCTTATCCATTGCATGGATCGGATAGGTGCCTTATTGGCAACCCTTCCCCTCCCTTTAATTTGCATTATGTGCCTGCCTTCTATCATTACACCCTTCAATTTTTGCATCTTATAGAAAATCATCTGGGAAAATTTACAACTCCTGTGATCGAAGCACAGGCTAGATTAGCTTCAAGGTGTGTACAAGCAATACCCCTAATTATTGTACTCTTTAACCTCTTTGAATGTTACCTGAAGCCTGTGGAGGTAAATATCCAATCTTGAACATTTGAACTTATTTATTCTTGAAATATTGGACTTAGTAATCCAGTAGTTCTGTAATTCTTGGGAATTCCACCAAAACTAAATGAAATCATATGTTTCCTCCGCTGACATTTCTGTATCTTATCTAAAACATTTGTAGGTACTAAGTCACCGAGGTTATGATGGCGCTGCTGCTGATGTTTGGTCATGTGGTGTGATACTGTATGTTTTAATGGCAGGATATCTACCATTTGATGAGACAGATCTTCCCTCCTTGTACAACAAGGTTATGTCATTAATACTTTATTGTCAAGTGCTTTGGTTGTCATACATGCAAGCATCTGTGCCGAAATATTTATGAAATGGCATGCTCGTTCTTGTATGAGAGGCTGAGTACTTTATATTTCCCTTGTCAGAGTTATTCTATCAAATTAACCCAAACCACCAGTGTAGACTTTATCATTGTTGTATTAGATGCCTGATCTTTCTTGTGCTCCAATTACGATATTTATGTCATTTACTTGTGGTTGACTAATCCACTTCAAATGCATAAGTGGAATGTTTTCAATGCCAATAAATTAGAAATGTAACCCATAAAAGCAGTTATGATCATTAACTGTAAAATATGGCTGTTGTCTTCTGAACATTGTGTTAGCATCAATATACTATGATGTCGTTTGATAAGTTCTTTCAGCATTTATGTTATACTATTTAAGAGCTTGTAAGATTTAAGTATTTGGTGTGGTAAGATATTTTATGTATTTGGGGTGCGAAAATAGGCCTATAAAATCTTAGACAACACTACATGTTAAGATCTAAAAATTAGGAGCTCATGACTTATATGAACTCATTATGCCTTGATGCTCTACAATTTCATATTTATCTTATCTGAAAGTGTACTTGTTCTTTTTTATTTAACTAATCATTTCTTTTTCCTCTAAAAACATGTATTATGCCTTAAATTCAGAGTTCTGTGACAATCAATATAATCTTTTAACTTCACAAAGCAACCTCCTAAGTTCACTGATTAATGCCCATCTTCATGATTCATGATCTGCTATTTCACAGTAATTTCTTATTTTCCACTTGAACAGCACAGCACTGTAACTTTTTCATTAATTTCTGATGGGTGGTTTTGCTTCTTCTCTCTGTTCAAATCATTATGCAGATTAATGCTGCTGACTTTTCATGCCCATTTTGGTTTTCCCCATCTGCAACGTCATTGATACGTAAAATTCTTGATCCCAATCCCAAAACGGTAAGTGCTTTAACCAAGTTTATCCTTTAGAGCCGGGTGTCTTTTCTTTTCTACGTATAGCATAAGTAGTAGCTTATTAAGGTTATGGGGTTCATCTACAGATACTACTTGGGATAGGAATTTCTCATTGTAGTTATCATATTTGCTTCTTTTTTTTTGTTCAATCATATTAGTTAAAATTTTCCTCCGGCGTCTTTTCTTGATGTTGGTTCTCAATAAATAATCATGTCGCAATGCAATATGATTATTGAAATTTTGTATTACAAGGCACTCCCTCTATTAGTGTTGACTCTCGATATAAAATTAATCGAAATGGTCAAGCCATATGATGGAATGACTTACCACCCTTCTCTGAACCTCAAGATTTTTCGAAGATACCCTATTGGTGTTAGAGACCTACTTAGTATATAAAAAGAAAATAACTTATACAATCTTCATAGATTTAAGTTTGGATTACGTAATTTAATTTCCAAAATTATATTCTATATTTATGTTCATGCTTTCCCCCAACATGGTTCTATTCCCCATTAGCATGTAGTTTATATTACTTTGCTAAATGTTCTTTGATTCCTTTTAATTATTTTTGGGGAAGGATTTCTGATATTGCATTTGACACAATTGAAACTGTTCTGTTAGCTCATTTAAAGGGCTTGACAACACTGACTACATGGTATCTCTACAGCGAATCAAAATCGAAGGGATTAAAAGATCCCCTTGGTTCTTGAAAAATTATGTGCCCGTCAGAGCTAGACAAGATGAAATGGTGAATCTGGATGATGTTTCTGCCGTTTTTGACGACATTGAGGTTGGATTATTTTCTCGTTTTGATTCTCTTGTTTTTTGATAATTTGAAAGGATTTAAATCCAGCTGATTGTTGTAGCTTCTTTACTTATATTTTGTTTTGCAATATCATAATATCCATAATCTTTGCTTCTCTTTTATATCAAACTCATTGTATCTCTTCTTTAGAATGATTTTTGCTCTTTCAATGCCAGGACAAATATGTGAATGAAGAATCCCGAGATAGTGAAAATGGCCCGTTGATAATGAATGCTTTCGAGATGATCACCCTTTCGCAGGGATTAAACTTATCAGCCTTGTTTGATCGGCGCCAGGTACCGTCTATAATTATGATAATAAGTATGTTGCATGTAATTTATTGTATTGAAAGTTGAATTCGGCTTCGTTCTTTCTATTATTTTTTTCACATGTTTTCCCAAAAAAATTAATACACTATATACACAGTTCCCTATAATTCACATAAAAAAAAAAATTTCATTTCCAACAATCTCACTAAACAAACACACAATCACTTATATATGTGTGTAAATTTATTCTATTCACGACATCAATCATCTTTACGCTTCATCCAATCTTTTGTATCCTATCTACATCTTTTCGCAGGATTACATCAAACGACAAACTCGTTTTGTTTCCCGACAGCCCGCAAAAGATATACTAGCCGCTATTGAGGCAGCTGCCCAATCAATGGGACTCAAGGTTCACACACGGAGCTACAAGGTCGACTTCTATTTAACAAAATCTTCAAAAGAATGCATCCAATGTGTTTGATCTCTACGACGCCACTTAACCAAGAAATGTATCGTTCTTTCACAGACAAGACTCGAGGGTGTATCCGCTAACCGGGCCAGCCAATTCGCCGTCGTGCTCGAGGTCAGTTTTATCCATTCCTTGCCAAATTCATCGTCCCCCGGCCATGCACCTTAATGATGGATTCCCTACAGATTTTCGAAGTTGCTCCGTCCCTTTTCATGGTGGATGTCCGTAAAGCTGCTGGCGACACCCTCGAATACCACAGGGTCACTTTTCTTTACCAATTCACCCGTAAATCTTTACAAAGCGCGGGATGGATGATCGAGACTAACTTGTTTATTCCATCTAATGTCATGCAGTTTTACAAGAACTTCTGCACCCGGCTCGAGAATGTCATCTGGAGACCAAGGGACAGTGATCCGGCTATTCTCCAGACAATGACGAGCTTATCCAATTCGAGTGAGTGAAGCAGGCCAGTCGGGAGGATGAAAGCTAATACTTTTAATTTGTTTTTTTATGGTTGAAGAGGCTGCCCGGCGCCATTCTTTGCTACGAGTGAGTTTGTCAGGCGGAGCTGTACGAGGAATGAATAAAACTCCATAGATGTCCGATGTTTGGTGACATATATATATATATGGTTGATGGTTGTATGTATAGGTAGCAATAAGAAAGGAAAATGTTGGAGTCGCCATTGATGCCTGACTTTTTTAGGTCCCATGGTGAATTGAGAATAAAATGAAGTTTCTTGTGTTTTTTCTTAAAAAAACATCAAAATATGAAACTCAAAGTTTTATGTTAGAATTTTATGGTACTAGCTCACATATTGATATACAATACTACCATTAATTTGAGAATAAAAAATATATATTTATACAGTATGTTTTCCATTGCAATTGCAGATATGAATTGAAATATAATAATCAATTCAATACAGAATAAAACTCAAATAATCGAGACTAAAATGACTCTTAAGAATATATCTCCAATTATGCTTAAGATCAAAAACTCTTAAATTTATGTCTTAATTACTTCGTTTTATTAAAAAAGTAATCTGACATGTTTAATAGAAGTTTCTTGAAAAATGGGGAGTGTAACGAAATAGTAAAAACTTTTCACATTGACCTATTACTTCATATACACTACATTAACATGATTGCTAACTTTATTTACTTGTTAATACTGTAATTTACTGTTTGATCAATCAAAATATCCATATAGAGTACACAAACACCCGAAAAAACGCAAACAAAAGCAGTGTTAATATTTCCAAGGTCTCCCTTAATAAAGTAGTAGTAATTGTCTAATAAAAATGTGTTTGTTGAAGTCATCTTTCTTCTATAACTTCTTATTACGGGTGTGTTTCTTTTGATGAGTTTGGAAAAAAAATAGTTTAGGTTTGGTATGAAAATAATATTTAATAGGATATTTTGTGAAATTAAAAAATATATTTTTATCGAGAAATGAAGACTCCAAATAATAAAATTTTGGAAAACTGGCTTAAAGAAACATACCAGTATTATATATTAGTTATGTAATAGTAAAAGTTTTGACAAGTCTACATGAACCAATATTTCAAATATTATTTTAACATACTTTTGAAAAAAAGAATGCTGAACATCTACTAAATACAAAATTATTTATTTAGGATTATAGTAAATGGATTCATTGCATTGTAGTAGTTTGTAAATGAAAAGAAAACAATCAAACATTGTCTGGCCTACCACTGTCGTCAGTACATTGAATTCAAATGTGTGATGTTGTTTGGTTGATAAGTTGTAAATGGAAAAGAAATTGACACAAACAACAAGTTTATTCATTACATCACTAAAATTACACTTCATTACATTACATTACATTACATATGTGGAAAAAGGAATTGAGCAGTTGCATAGTACAATGAACACACTCAAATAGAGCGAAAAAGCACCAAAACAAACAAGACTTAACTTACTACAACTAGTAAGAAAATCTCATCCAAAAACCACCGCCGGAGAACGTAAAAAAAAAAACAGCCATGGCTGTTCCGGCGGCGGCCGTCGATCCCTCGACGGAGAGGCGGCTTCCTCGCTCTAAAATCGGGCACCGACAACGCAACTACTCGGCAAACCGTCTTCCACGACACACTACCTTAACTTAACCTAACCTTAAACCCGAACATCGAAATCGAAACACTTGAAACGGACACATACGAGCAAAATAAACGATCGATGATACAAACTCGGGTGGAGAGCGCCGCGATGGGAAACCTGAAATCGGGACAGACCCAGTTTAGTGCAAGAGACCGGAGGCGAACAAAACGGGGGCAGCCGATCTGATCAATCGATGATCGACGGGTTCGGCTAAAAAGGTTTCAACAGGCTTGTCAAATACAAGGCAGCCTGCAAAAAAAGTGGGTGTTCGCCCCCGGGTCTCTCCGGAAAACAACCGAGTCCAATCGAATCAAGTCGAGCGCAGCGGCGGCGGGAAAAAAGCTACTCGATTTTACGACAGAATATCGCATCTCCACAAGCTCTCGGTAAGCAACTCAATCGCGTGGCCGCTGATCGAATGGCAATGCTGGAGATTCAGCCCGACGAGCGTCGTTCCGAGCTTCTCGAGCGCCGGGGCGCTCTTGTTCGACACCATCGAGCATCCCGACAATGATAGGATCTGCAGATTCGACTGCACACCGCGCGACAGCGCGACGACACCCGAATCAGTAACACGACACTTCGAAACGTCGAGATCGTTGAGCAACGGGCAGGCGTTTGCGAGCGCGGCAAGACTTGCGTCGGTAATTTTCGAACAACCGCAGAGATTTAGCAGCTCGAGCGTCTCGCCGTGCATTCTCGTTAGCGCGAACACCACTTCGTCGGTTAGATTCGAGCAGTCGCTTAGATTGACCTTTACAAGTCCCTTCTCGGAACACTCGACGAGCGGCCGGAGGCCATCATCGGTGATCCGACGAAGCCCGCTTAGATCCAATTGCTGGAGCTGCGGGCAGAGCCGCCCGACCGTCGCCAAGCTCGTGCTCCCGAACCCAGGACAGTTCCGAATCGACAACGATCGGAGCGACTCGCACGGCGACAACATCGTCGGATAATCCGAAGCTAAATCCTTAATTCCCATACACTTTATTACCGCAACGCTTTTCAATTTAAAGCTCGAGCTCGAAAGCGCCGTCAACATTCCGATTTGAGTAATTCTATTACACTCCTCCAATTGTAAGCTCTCGAGAACGCCTGCGGCCTTCGCAAAAGCAACGAGCCCTTTATCGGAGACGATCGAGCATTTCCTAAGGCACATATGTTTCAAATTCAGACAGCCTTTTCCGACAGCTTCGAGGCTCGTATCTGTCAATCCGCGGCACGCGGTGATGGTCAACGACAACAATGTGCGTAATCCGCGGGCATTGCCCATCACCCAAAAGCCCTTCTGGCTCACATTCTGAAGTCCCGACAAGACGAGATTCGTAATCGCCTTTCCGTAATGCCCGATTACGGCGATCGAATAATCGCCGATGTTTAGGCCCTGAAGCTTCAGTTTCGTCAATGCTGACGATCCCGACGACATTAAACTAGCAATGCCCTGATCGCCGACGCGGCCGCAGTCTTTGATCGAAATCGACTGTAATTTTCGGCAGAACTTCGCCACTGATTGAAGACCCTCGTTCCCGATTCCCGGGCACGATTCGATTGTCAATGCTGTAATGTTAGGGCAGTTTTCGGCGATTGCAGATAAGCCCTTGTTCGAAATCGACGGGCATTGGCAGAGATCGAGCTTTTCCAGCGATCGGCATTCGCGGCCGATTTCAAAGAGACCGTCGTCGGTGACTGAAGCTACATTCCACATCGAAAGATCCCTAAGCGACGGGCAGCTGCGGGCAATCGCCGCCAGGCCGGCGTCGCTGACCGCCGGAAAAGAGCTGCTTCCTCTGATCGAAAGCTTTCCAAGCCCGCCGCGGCCGGAAGTTCCGACGGCAATGGCGGCGAGCCTTAGATCGGTTGCTTTCTTCCCTTCCACACACCTCGTGAGACATCCGTCGCACTCCATGTCAGCATCCTCGTCGGCCGCCGGAGCGCCGGCGGCGGAGCCCTGCGAGAACTCGGAGGTCCGGACGTTGCTGAGCACCGTCAGCCAGCGTTTGGAGACGCAGGCGGAGATGCTCCTCTCCCGTCCGGCGGGCAGCCGCCGGAGAATCTCGAAAAGGCACTCGTCCGGCAGCCCGTCGAGAGACGGGCGCTTGTCGTGGAACGATTCCCCGCCGACGATCCACGGCCCGGCGATCCGCGAGCGCTTCCGCGGCGGGCAGTAGACCTCGACGCCGGAGGCGATGGAGAAGACGACGCCGGAGTCGCCGGCGCAGGAGTAACCTCCGGCGTGGAAATCACTGTGATCGCCTGACGAAATTAGGGCACAAACAGTCAGAAATTTCCCCAATTTTCAAAACAAATTTACTGAAATACCAAAATCCATAGCCAGAAATAGGATTAATTAGGCAAGAATCCAAGAAACGAAACCCTAATCGACTAATTGGGCAACAAGCAATCAATCAAGATCCAAATCAAAAATCAAAATTAAAACAAACCAAATCTCAAACTCAAACACCTAAACCCACCTCGGTAATTAACAAGAGCAGGCATGGCTGAAGATGATCCAGAGACGAAAATCCCCAAACAAGAGGAAAAACAGCAAAATCCCTCAACAAAACGAAAGCCCAGATCAAGATCTCAATCAATATTAGCATTCCACGGTGTAAATCGCCAAACACTTCGATTCGATTCAATTGAACGACGACGAAACAAACGCCACAACCCCAAAGGGAAAAAAAAGGGTAAAAACCAAAAAATAAAAAGAGAGGAAAAGAAAGGGAAGAAGAAAACCCTTTTCTCCTTTGCACAGAGCAGTCTTCAATGTACTTGCAATAATATATAATCCCCCAAGAAATGCGAAATGCATGAATACACAAATTAAAATAAAAATATAATAATGTAAAATGTACGAGCAGAAGGAGAGAGAAAGAGAGGAGAGAGAGTGCAAGTAGGTGAGGTGTCAAAAGTCTTTAGATACATGATGATGGCCGAACGCAAGCCTCTCTGCTCTCAAATCTTTACATAGTTCAATGAATCGTGACCGGCAACCGGCGGGCCCAGTTACTGACAGTTTGTCTCTGTGCTGCCACTTGTACTGCAATTTTAACCGGCTGGACCTGTTCTTCCATACAGGCTAAAACCTGGTCCCGGTGCATTGTACAATGGGAATAATCTATACCATATATATATACTTCCTCCTATCGGTGATACAGTAGCGTTTGTTTTTTGCAAAAATTTTTTTTAATATTAATATTATATTAGATTATAATAAAAAAAATAAAAATATTTCTATTAATATAGTATAATATAAAAATAATGATATTTATGTAATATATTATAAATTGAAATAATATTTATTATGCTAGATAAGTAGTACAATTACTAAATTAGAAAATGGTAACCTTGTTTTAGGACGGACAAAAATAAAAAATGGCAACGTTTCAATGGGACGGAGGAAGTATATAAATAATAACCGTTGCTTATTTGATCGGACACGAATTTTAAAAAAAAATAAGTAAAAATAAAATTTCTTATTTTTTTAGATAAAGAAAAAATAGAAAAAATAATACTCCTTCCGTCCCAGATACCATGTCCATGTTGCCGTTTCTGTCCGTTCCACATACCATGTCACTTTCCTTTTTTAAAAATGATTACACACTTTAATCTCATTTTAAATTTTTAATTTTTTTTTAATTTTAATTAAACTAATTAGTTATCTTAATCTTAATTTATAATTGATTATATTATAAAATAATTATTTTTACTAATGCATTCTTAATTATCTACTAATTATACTCCTCCTGAAATATTGTGTCTACAGTGTAGCAGACATGGTATTTGAGATGGAGATATTATTTTTTACTATAAAAACGAAAATAAATTTGATGGTAATAAATAAAATAAAATAAAATAAAAAAGTGAGGATTTCTTGATTTGCCTATGGATTTCTTGTTTTCTAAATTTTATTTAAATAATAATAATTTTAAAAAATAAAAAATAAAAAAAATTCTACTGCTATTGTACTCCCTAATTTGGTTGAGGATTCAGCAGCCACTATATTATATTTCAACCCCTCCCTGCCTAGAAATTACTGTGTGTCCTGTTTTTTTATTATTAAATTTGATATTAAAATAATACTATTAATATTATATTTAAATCAATTTTGTTTTATTATTCAATTTCTAATATTTTCTTTCTGAAGTGAATCTTCTGAAAATATTCATTAATTCAGCAATGTTGAATTTAATAGGCATTTTTAATTAATTAAATTTAAATTAATATCAAGATTAATTTTTGTATATCTTGAATTATTATTCAAATCAACCTTAAAAATGTATTTTTCTTTCAAAAACATTATACCAAAATATTATTTGAATTAATTTTAAAATTAAAAAAAAAAAAAAATCAAATCTAACAAACGCTTAAAAGGACTATATTTTACATAACCAACATTCATATATTCCCTCTATTCTGCACTAGAATTTTATTTTTTTTTGCATTATTGTACTTAACATTAAATTATTTTTATATTTGTTTTTACTCAAATATCATTATAATAGTATTATAAAATACTAATATATGTATTGTTATTTTTTCTTAATTTGTACAATATTTTCATATAATAATTATTATTTAAATATGAACAAGTAAAAAGTAAATGAGACCCTTTAAATATACTCTTTTCGTCCCAATATAAAATTCTTGTTTACTATTTTTCTTCCGTTCCAAAACAACAGTCTTATTTCTATTAAGAATCATATCACTGTAAAATTACATTTACTTTCTCATTATTATTACACAATTGACACTACTTTTTACACTAATATATTTACAAGGACAAAAAAATCTTTTATCCATACTTTTCACCCGCTACCAATATAATACTTCATCCGTCCCACATACCATATCCACGTTGCCGTTTCTATCCATTCCACATCCCATATCACTTTCTTTTTTGGAAAATGATTATACACTTTAATTTTATTTTAAACTTTTTAATTTATTTTTTTAATTTTAATTAAACTAATTAGTTATGTTAATCTTAATTTATAATCATTTATATTATAGAATAATTATTTTCACTAATACATTTTTAATTATCTACTAATTACACCCCTCCTAAAATATTGTGTCTACAGTGTAGCAAATATGGTATGTGGAACAGAGGGAGTATCAATATTCCTTAAATCTCGTACCAAACACAACCCAAACTATAGTTTTGGTACCGACAGCACATATTAATTCACCACAACTTTGACTATATGGTAAATTTAGCATTTTACCACTGCTGAATCAAATCATAATTATTATTTTGGATTTAATTTAATTAAAATAATTAAATATTGATTAAAATATGAGTGTATTACTGTAGACACGAGAATTTAAGGAATAATATAATTAGTAAGTAATTAAGAAATGTATTAGTAAAAATAATTTTTATTTATTAAAAATAATTATAGATTAAGATTAAGATAACTAAATAGTTTAATTAAGATTAAAAAAAATTAAATTTTAAAATATGATTAAAGTGTATAATTAATTTTCCAAAAAATGAAATGACAAATTATGTGAGACGGATGAAAATAAAAATATGAAGAAATTATGTGGACCGAAGGGAATATTAATTTAATTAAAATAACTAAATATTGATTAAAGACAATATTGTGTTGAACTAATATGTGCCTCAACACATGATCCACTGCTTTCATTGCAATGTTGAATTACTCGTTATCTTTTTAATAAATATTTAATTATTTTAATAGGATTGATGTAATAAAAACTGAGTTTATAAAAATGATAATAACAATATAAATTACCATGTTCAAGGACAAGGCCAGTTTTTCTTTTCGTTTTTTGTGCGTTGATATTTAATATTAATTATTATATCAAAATGTAATACAAATTAAGAAAAAATGACAAAAATATTTCTATTAGTCTCTTATAATACTAATAGAATGATATTTGTAAAAAAAAAAAATTATATAATATTTTTAATATTAAGTAAATGAGGCAAAAAAATTAAATGTAATCTTAGATGAAATATTAAATTTGTTATTAAATTTTAATTTTGTAAGATTTTTTTAAATTTATAAATATTTTATAAAATCATACCAATATTAAATAAGTTTTATTAATTTAAATTATCAAATATATGAATACACAAGTATTATTCGATTTTATTAAACAAATCAATATTAACAAAAATATTTAATTTTTTGAATAAATTATTATTATTATAAATTTTAACATAATTAAATAATATAAAATTATATTAACAATAGAATATATTTAATTTATAATTAATTATGCCTATATCATAATAAATAAATAAAAACACAATATATATATATATGTGTGTGTGAAAATAAAAATTAATAGTAAAAGATTTGAAATGAGTTTTCCGTTACGGATATAAAATAGAAAAAATATTTTGCAGATGTAGTGAAAAGAGAAAATATATGAAATGTAAAAATTAATGGATTGCTAGGATTGGAGAATGGTTCTTTCAGAGCCATATTCATGTGGTGTCATTTGTCACCATTAATTTATTTTTTTTATAAATAAATAATTGTGGGATAAATTATCTTTTTAATTTGGTAATTGGATTTATTTATCATTTTCTCGTAATTGAAAATTGTCTTAAAAGAGTTTCGTAAGTAGAATTTTTTACATGTGGATAATTTTTATTTTTATTTTTTAATAAAATATAAATAAATAGTAAAATTAAATATATAAAAATATTAAAAATTAAAAATAAAAATTAATATAAAAAATTAAAAAACAAAATAAAAATTATCTATATGTTCGCCAGGTCAATGAGCGGCTATGTGGATCATTTATATTTTTTATATTAAAAATAAAATATAAAATATAATTGAAAAATATATTAATATATAAATTATTAAAGGTCAAGGCGCTGACTTAGACGGATATATAGATAGTTTTTATTTTTTATTTTTTATTTTTAATTTTTATATTTTATATTTTTATATTTAAAAAAGTAAAAATTATTAATGTAGCGGCCACGTGACGCTGACACGACGGATATGTTGATAATTTTTTTCTAATTTTTTAATTTAAAATTTAAAATTTTATTATTTTATTTTATTTTTATATATTTAATTTTATTGTTTATTTAAAATTAAAAATTGTCTACGTGTCAGCCACGTAGAACTAATTTGGCCAACACGTGTCATCTAATTTGCTACACAGATACCACATAGGCATTGAAGATTAAATTGAAAAGAAATTCAATTACGAGACTATTTTAAGACATCTCTAATTACGAAACTAAAATGATAAATGAATCTAATTACGGGACTAAAATACAGTTTACCTATAATTGTGTTAATAGTAAAATAATTAATGTACTTCATTTCAAATATGAAATGTCATTATTATCTAAAAGAATTAGTGGATTATTTAAATTTTCAAATAGGATTAATATCCAAATAATTAGAATGCAATTTAATTAATTTATATTTTTAAAGTATAGATATACAAAAATATATTACTAACGTTCCATAATTAAGTATTTATTTGCTTTTTGCTTATCGAACTTTGATATTAATCTTATTTTCAAAAATAGTACTACCTCCGTCTCACATACCGTGTCTGCTACAATGTAGATACAGTATTTTAGGAGTTGTGTTATTAGTAGATAATTAAGAATGTATTAGTGAAAATAATTATCCTATAATATAAATAACTATAAATTAATATTAAGATAACTAATTAGTTTAATTAAAATTTTAAAAAAATAAAATTAAAAAGTTTAAAAAGAGATTAAAGTGTATAATCATTTTCCAAAAAAAGAAAGTGACATAGTATATGGGACAAATAGAAACGGCAACGTGGACATGGTATATGGGACGGAGGGAGTATAAATTAAGAGAAAAAAAACTAAAAATATCTCTATTAATATTGTATAATAAAAATGCAATAATATTTGTATAAAATAC